TAAAAAGATCTGCAAACATTTGTCAACAAGAGAATACACCGCATGTGGAAGTTCTTATCAACTCACCGCGATTATCATTTTTATCATTGCATTTGAAAACTTGATAATGGATGCCAACAGGTAACAAAATAAAATGTCAATTTAGTTGCTCAGTAAAAAAAGTCTATTCTCTTTCCATATGTTGCTCAAGCTATCTAATTTATTAGTGTTTCACAGTAATAATTTGTTTAGGTAAAACCAATTCATAATTTTAAAAAACCCTTTGAATCTCACCATTTTTTTTCCATTTGATTTTCATCAAAAATTTAAAAAAGAAAGCTGGCCATTAGAAATATGCTAAGATACATTTTTTTAAATAAAAAAAGAAACCTTCATTTTTATTGAAAATGTGTTATTAAGTAGACTTCCAGCAGATAATGACCTGGTTCTAACCACGGGTTTTCTTCGTTTCGAATGCACGTAATAAATCCATTTTTCATCGGAGGTGAATGTCATGTCCAAAATGAAGTCCATCTACAGTTGATGATACAGAATTATTGTAAGTTGTTTTATCTGGTGGAGGTCAGAACCAAGAATATCTAATCTAAGCAGTATATCCATACAAGACAATATTTCTTCACATTATGCAATACTGACTATTGCCTGACTTATCAAAAATGAATGAAGTAATATCTACAGACATTAATCCAATAAAATACTTATTGTCGAAACGCAATATTCAAGTAAAGAAGACACCTGGGAAGCAATAAAACCGTTGTGAGTAATGTTAAAGTAGAAACTGTAAAACACCTAACAAAATCAACTTAAAACATTTAATATAATAAAATAATAATTTATCCAGATATACTGGGTATTGTATTAATTATTATTAATATATGTTTATATGACCTATATCCTCTCGATTTATTTAAAATAAAAAAAAATATTGCTTTTAAATGGTTGGATTAATAAAATCTAATATCCCGCGAAAAGTTCATTACCAATATATCTTTTAATTAAAGATAGATATCACAAGCTGAAATTCATACAATACAAATTTCACACATATGAAAATATATCAATATATATTCTTTTTTTATATACACTTGTCATGGGTGCAATTTTTTTTCATAGTGCATGTGTGCATACGTGTGCGCGTTCGTAGCGCGTTTTTGCCCATGCACCAGTCTAGGCGTATGTGTGTATATGTAGAATATCGTGGTTACTTGTTCTTTTCGTCGTTTTTTTCCCTCTTTACACTCATTATTTTTTTTTTAACTTTTTCTCTCTTTTTCCTTTTTTTTTCAATTGTATCCATTTTGACTTCCAGTTTTCTAGACATATACTGTCTTTGTTAATTCTTATCCATTAATTTTTAATAAATAGCCCCATATATATATATATATATATATATATATATATATATATATATATATATAATTTATTGCTTGAATTTTTAAATCTACTAATAATTTACTAACTGTCCGTCAATCTGTCCTTTTAGAAAATCTCTGCAGTCACGTCACAAATAGTAAATGTGAACAGCACAATGTTTTCTAAACTCAATCAAAAATCAAAAACCAAATCTCACTAAAAAATAAGATAGAAAATAAGGTAAACAGCATCAGCCTACAACAATAAATCCCCAAAACTGTAAACTCTCTCTGGAGGAGAAAATAGCTATAAGTAATTTCCCAGACCAACACTAATTACTAAACAAACGATCAGAACTCATCTCAAAATGCAGACACGAAAACAAAGTTTTACTACGTTACTTTAAAATCTAAAACTAAAAACGATCAAGAATAAAACCAAAAAATAAACAAATAAATAAATAAGTAAAATAAATTAATCCAAACCAATAATTAAACTACGAACGCACACATAAACACAAGTAAACGTAATAATAACAACCAACAATAAATAATAAAATAATGAATAAAAAATTTAACAAACAACAATATAAAATAGCCACAAAATTGAACCCGGATCCACGGTTATTTCCACCCAATAGCTCCTAGAATAATTCGAAACATAAGTGTTGCCGTTCACCCAAATAACCGTTAGAATAATAAAATAGGTTTACCCATAATGCACCACTGACGAGTATATATAAATAGTCGAGCCAAAACAACGCATATGGCCTGACGATTGCGTTTAAGCATGAAACACTGTCGCCGCTGAGTACTGACATCAATGTCTACTTTTATATTTATATACGGTCTATATCTGATATTGAGCACCCATAAATATAGCATTACTTAAAACTATATTTTTATCATATATATATACGGTCTATATCTGATATTGAGCACCCATAAATATAGCATTACTTAAAACTATATTTTTATCATATATATATATATATATATATATATATATATATATATATATATACAAAATTCGACATCAAGTCAAACTAAATAACCTTTTGACTCGCTTGGCGACTGAGATAACTGTTTATTCAAAACCGGTGCTCAAGCCCAGCTAGACGTTAGGCTCTTAAATTTTCTTTTAATGGCAGGTGACAGGCAACTTCTCATTTGTGAGATTAGCCCATGTCCCAAAGCAATAGTCCAGATGTACTTTAATTCTATTAGCCTTGAGCCATACTAAACCAAGCTTAGTAAATAATTGACGCGTTGCTATTTCAAAGCACTGAAGAAGTCTACAAACAATTTTGGTAACCTGGGTTCAGTCCTCTAAACAGCATCTCCCAATTTTACGAAGTGTAGGTGAGAGAGTAATAAATGTAAAGACTGTAGAAAGTAGCAAGTCATGTAATTTATGGTAAATGCTTAAATAAAAAAAAATCTGTGTTTTAATATGCGTATCTATAAAATAAATCTTCCACTGGCGCCTTTGGTTGATGTTTGTGTTCATACATGCATATATATATATATGAATAAAAAGAGACAAGAGGAAAAACTATTCTTAGCCGACGCATTTCGTCATCTGAGGGACTTTATCAAGGGCATGTAAGTGTCATACAATTGGGGAGGTGCTGTTTAGAACAATGTTCCTCGGTTACCAAACTTGACTTGATAAAGCTTCTTTTTTCCTCTTGTTTCTTTTTATACATTTTTTCTTTTACATATACACTCTAACTGAAAGTAATTTATACACACACAAACACACACACATATGTGTGTGTTTCATTAAAGACGACAGATAAGGTTCTGCGATTAATCTTTTTCTTTAATTTTTCTTGTATTCGAGCAAGTGTTTTCTTTTCTGGACACAGAGTGGAGTGTGTAGAAACTGTCCAAATGTTCTGCAATTACGAGCACTTTCGGCTATATTTTTAACCATTATCAAAGATGATTTTATTTTTATTTTTAACTGGATGTATGGGATGTGTGTATGTTTATAGAGTTATAGGGATGTTTTATTTTCCGAACACATTGTGGCCGTGTTCGTAGTTAATTTGTTGGTTTTTCGTTTTTTACTATTAAGGCTTGCAATATTTTTAATTTTTGACATGTGGATGAAATCATTATGCTTTTATTTTCTATTAGTGTGTTTCGGATGGAGTCTAGTAAGTTTTTGTGTGTGTGTTCAAATTGGTTCTGATGGAGCTGTGGTCGGATAGGTGTAATCTAAGTCGACTGGATAGGCATGTAGTAGTGTGACCGATGTAATTATTTATGAGTATGTTTTAATCAGGATCGCAGTTCCTTAAAGGTCATCCGAACTCGTAAATAATGTTCGTACTTAATTATCTGCAACAAAAAATTTAAAACAGTTAACCTTATCCTAAAAAATAACAACACAGCTTCAAAATCAAAGCTACAAAGAACAAACATTATTTACAAGTTTACAGAACATTTGGACAGTTTCTACACACTCTGTGTCCAGAAAAGAAAAATAAAACTTATTTGAACACAAGAAAAATTAAAGAAAAACCTTAATTGCAGTACCTTGTATGTCGTCTTTAATGAAACATATTTAAATGAGAGATTACTGCCTAAACACACACACACACACACACACACACACACACACACACACACACACACACACACATATATATATATATAATAATGAAATGGATTAAGTCCGACAATTATTTAATATATTTTTTGTTTATACGTTATTTTTATAGATACAAATATTTAAGTAAATGCTTTGTTTATAAGAAGCAGTATTAACAAATATAGAAAATATATAATAAGCAGTATTAAAAAATATAGAAAATATATGTCCTTTGACAGGAATCGAATCTGTATCCTACACGAAACCGTCATATAGCCTAAGGCGCTATACCATTTAACTACAGAGGGCGGTAAATATTGTCAATACTGTTTATTATAAACAGAGCATTTACTTAAATATTTGTATCTATAAAGATAACGTATAAACAGAATATATATATATATATATATATATATATATATATATATATATATATATAGTCATCCAAACTTACTATTTCGCAGCTCATCAGTGTGCCTCAAACCGAGATCTAAATCCGACTAATTTGCTATCAGTCGGAAACTCTAAGCCATTGGCGTACGACAGGGATGAAGGTGAATTTATACGTATTTATTTTTAGATAAACGCGCTAGTGGCAGGAGAATTCGATTCGTCTTAACGACGAGTCTTGCATCAGCAGCAATCATGTATATATATGGCATGCAATTTTCCTGGCAAATAGAGGAATATTCTTTACATGTAAGATTATTTTAACATAATCCTTTTACCACAGTTTGCCTTTAATTTTTTATTATTGCGCATGAATAAAGTTTCCTTCCTTCCTTTGGTGGCCTACGTGATGCACACTTGGGCGATCATGTCTCTTTTCGATTCATGACTGACTTGGCAGAAGAATTCCATCAGTAGGTTGTCGTTACTTTCTGCGGTTGCCAACCAAGTCTACAGGACAGAGTCCGTCTTGCTATTTGACCCATAGTGAGAAGGAGAAGAAATAAATTCATACCTTTCCAACGGTTGAATGCAACGAACTCGACTGGAATTCAAACACCGAGCCGTTATCGATCATTAAATCCCGCACATCCAAGCTTACAGCACCCGATATTCCCAAGTCGTAACCGATCTAGGTACTGACCAGGCTCAACGTTGCTTAACTTCGATGATCGGACGAGAACCGGTGTTTAAACGTGATATGACCGTAACCGAGCTTTAATCAATACTAAGAATGAGTTAAGCTATACCATTTAACTACACTACACTACTATATATACATTATATACTAATTTGTTCCCTATCATTTTATGCTCGGGTCCCAATCAAGCGCACACATATATGAAACTCGGTAATGATATCAACTGATATCTAACCACAAATATAAGGTATCCAGTTAGAATCAAATTCACTGCAATAATAATTGTTTGTCAGACAAGTTCCTTAACCATTATATCACGGTGAGATATCCAAGTATTGAATTGCTATGTAATATCAGTTCTTCAGTCTGGCAGTGAATACCAGACAATTTCCTTACAGATGAAGACGAAATAAAATGATTGGCGTAACACTTCTAATATTTTGCAACACGTAGAAGAAATTACCAACGTCCTACCCCAGGGGAATGAAAAAAAAAATGACAGGAGAGTTTCATAAGAATTACTCTACACTGATTAATTAATCAACTGACGAAAAATTTCAAGACCCCATCATGTTACTCACGTTTGAGTTGCATTCTATTCACGCTAACTGGGTTTCATTCGCTTTGTCACTTTAATTACCAGTACAACCATTTTTCTCAAGACACGTGACGTTTGTACAAAGACTTGAATTTTTTGATATCTTTGTATTTCTATGCATTTTATAAGTATAATTTGAAGACAGACACACTTTCTAAATATTGTTAATGTGTCTTTTCTTTTCCCTTTCGTTAATCGTGCTCTTCTCTAGGTGTATTATTATTACTATTATTATTAATAATAATAATAGGGACAATCTCTACTTTTTGGCAATTCCATATTCTTATGAAGGGCTTTATCTATGTAAATTTTTTTTCTTTTTTCAGTGGAAAATGTCATGATGCCTTTTCTAACCTTAGGTCTCTGGGCTGGCGAAGAAATGTGTACACACCAGAAATCAAAGGAAATAAAATAATAATAATTATAGTCGTAGCAGTGACAAACAGCGAAAGAAAGTGTTTAATCGCCTATTCTACGTGGATGATATCAAAATCTTTAGCAAAGCGTATCCTCAATACTGTAAAATGTTTCAGTGATGACATCAGTATGGATTTTCGGATTACATAAATGTGCAAAAGCAACATTGAAGAAAGGGAGAGTTACAGAATCACACTAAATAGATCAAGATTTTTTATCACAAGGATTACGGAACTGGAACAAAAAGAAGCCTATAAATACTTAGTAATCAGCAAAGAAGATGGAATACAACGTACCCATATGAAGGAGAAAATAAGAATACTAGGAGCGCGTGGGTCTGGTGTTAAATACCGAGTTGAATTCACAAAACAGAATATCAGCCATAAACACTTTGGTTGTCCTTGTGGTGCAATACACTTTCAACATCCTTAATTGTACCATAGCTGACATTACGCGAATGGATGTCAAAACGAGAAAGCTTCTCAAATGCCACCGCATATATAATCCTAAGTCTGATGTGGATAAAGTGTATGACTTAATATCAGAACGTGTGCTAACAGAATGCATATATTTAATATCTTGTCTTAACCAAGGTTTTTAGTTAATGACTAAGTAAAGGATTTTATTGAAGAGAAAACCGAAGATAAGAATAATAATAGTCGTAGTAGTGACAAATAAAAAAAAACAAAAAAAACAATTTACGACCGTAATCATCACTATTTTTTACGTTTCCGTCTCAACCCTTTCCTCTTGTCATTCTTTTTATAATAATAATAAATCACCTTTTAATGGGTTTTTTAAAATTATATAATTAAAAAAATGCACATTTTTAGAATTGAATGCAATTATTAGTCAACGTTAGTTGCATTCCTTCGCTGTGTGAAAATTGTATTCAAGGATATTGCGGTTAATAATAAACATCTTTATCCAATGACCACGGGCAAAATACCTAGGTCGTAAAAAAATAAAAAAATAAGGAAATATTTTTGAAGGAGAATTTGAAATCTAAGAAGAGGAAATTACTTAAGCACCCCACCACACACACACACACACACACACACACACACACACACACACACATATGATGATAAAATGCATTAAATCCGACAATTATTTTAATATATTTTCTGTTCATACGTTATTTTTATAGATACAAATATTTAAGTAAATTCTCAGTTTATAATAAACAGTATTAACAACATTTACCGGCCTGAATGTCCGAGAAATTTCATAGAAAATATGTGTCCTTCGATAGGAATCGAACCTGTAACCTACGCGGAACTGTTATTTGGCCTGACGAGCTATATCATTTAGCTACAGAGGAAATGCATGGTTAGCAAAGTCAAATTACTGTTTTTAAACAACAAATTTTCCATGATTTTTCTCGAACGATCATATCTGCTCAGAGCGTATCGTAACAGGCCAGTACATATAGTTATTATAAACAGACATTTACTTATATAATTGTATCTATAAAAATAACGTATAAACAGAAACTATATTAAAATAATTGTCGGATTTAGTCCATTTCATAATATATGTTATCATTTGTTTACGTTACGATACGCTTCGAATAGATATGAACGTTCGAGAAAAATCACGGGAAATTTGTTGTTAAAAACAGTAATTTGACGTTGCTAACCAGATGCTTCCTCTTAGCTAAATAGTATAACACATCAGGCCAAATGATGGTTCCGTGTAGGATACAGGTTCGATTCCTGTCAGAGGACACATATTTTCTATGAAATTTCTCGGAAATTCAGGCCGGTAAACATAGTTAGTACTGTTTATTATAAATAGAGAATTTACTTAAATATTTGCATCTATAAAAATAACGTATACACAGAAAATATATATATGTGTGTGTGTGTGTGTGTGAAGTGATTAAAGTTCACAACATTTATTGTAGGTCGACTCGCGAGTGTCACGATTTGTCACACATCAGGACCCAGATAAGAATGAGTCTGGGTTCTGAGGAGGGCGGAATCATGAAACTCTGAGTCGAACCCCGATAAATATTGTGAACTTCGATTACTCTTGGTGCAATAATTATTGCTATAGATAACAATTGACCAATTTACTGTCAATAATTCCGTTCGCCTTGATATTCGTTGAATTATATAATTTTACGTATATCATTACGTGGCATTATTATTATTATTATTATTTTATTTTCTTTGATTTCTGACGTTTACACATTTCTTTCCGGGTCATACCCAGGGACCTAAGGTTAGAAATGGCATCATGACACTTTCCACTAACAAAAAAAAAAAAAAAAAATTACATAGATAAAGCCCTTTGTAAAGTGTGGGCTGTACTTGTCAGAACAATTTTTTGTATCTCTTTGAGGCATGGACTTCCAGGAATCCTTCAATTAGTCTACTGGAATCATTTCCAATCAGTCCTAGGGCTCCAACTACAACAGGGATTGTTGATGTTCCCATATGCCACATTTTTGAGATTTCTATTTAAAGGTCCTTGTATTTTGACAGCTTTTATTACTATTATTATTATTTCATTTTATATATACATGCATGGATATATATATATATATATATATATATATATGTGTGTGTGTGTGTGTGTGTGTGTGTATATATATATATATATATATATATACGCATATAATAACAGTATTTTTGTATCGCTAAAAATTAAATGAATTTGGGCTGATGAACAGTGTATCTCAAGAGGATAACGCCTTTAAGGCAAACAGACTTTATAATTAAAATTCTCACTATCAATATGTAGAGCATTAATAACAACAAATAAAATGATCTTATACGACTCGGAATTTTTCGGATATTTTAAGAAACATTTTTTCTTTTAAATAAGTTCAATTTCACAAATTGAAACTTTGAAGAGTGGATACCATATCTGCGAAACTCTGAGTAGGGAAAGATAAGTTGAACATTTAATTTATCTTTGTTGCTGACATATATATATATATATATATATATATATATATATATATATATATATATATATGTATGTGTGTGTGTGTGTGTGTGTGTGAATGAAGAGAGAGATTCGTGCTGATAATATTCACATCGCTTATGAACACATAACAGTGAAGACCTTTTCTACTTTCTTACATTCGGAAGCTTCATACTTCTGTTTATCTTCCTGTTTTGTCCTCCTCCTCCTGCTCCTCACTCTGCCCGATTCTCTCTTTCGTCAGAAATTATTCTAAAAAATATGCTCCCACCATACAAACGTCATAAGCAAAAAATGAAAAAAAAAGTCTGTTTTTTACACCAATTAGTCGAAAAGACTAATTACTAATGTACACTTAATTAATCCAGACGCGATTTCTGAAGAGGATACCAAAGATGAGATAATAAGGTATTATGCATTATGGGAAGAAGAAGAAGAAGAAGAAGAAGAAGAAGAAGAAGAAGAAGAAGAAGAAGAAGAAACGGAGGTGGGTACTAGTGTCATCCTTAAAGTTCTGAGTGCATTTCGCCTGCAGACTAAGAAGCCGGCTTCCGTTTGTTGTCATCGCAGCGAAGGATTATTTGATTTATGTAATTTTATGTTTTGTAAGCTTCACTGGAATGTCCATTAGGCAAGCAAAAATTCACCATTCTATCTATCTATCTATCTATCTATCTATCTATCTATCTATCTATCTATCTATCTATCTATCTATCTATACGTATGTTTGTAAGATGGCGAGCGCCTTTAATACCCACCCATTAAAATATCTTGATATGCACGCATCATAAAGTAATAATTATTCCGTACATTTGTATATAACACATTTTGCTTCTCCTCTCTTGAATCTATCTATCTATCTATCTATCTATCTATCTATCTATCTATCTATCTATCTATGCGATATGTGTGTGATACGACGGAAACCATCACCTACCACTTTTTAGGGTAGTTAGGATTTTACAAGCTAGCAGTAGGAAAAATCACGTTTTAAATATTTAACCCAGAGAACAAGGGCATTAAACATTCCCATCTATATCTATAACTAGCAGTAGAACCCGGCGTTGCCCGGGGATGTAACAGTAAGAGATAGATCAAGTATCGATCATCATAAAGAC